AAACGTATATTGTCACAAGTTTGTGTGCGTGTATGTGCGTGTGTGTGCGTGTGCGTGTGTGTGTGCGCGTGCTCGCAGCAGCTTGTTAGAATCCTTTCAAATGCACAGCTGCAGATGTTTTTTTCTGCGAAAAAAAAAACACTTGTGGCGTACAATTCCTGACGTGATAGTGCCTTGCCTCTTTCTTTTTCTGTGTTTCAGTGAAGACGAGATGTCACCCTGTGAAAGTGTTATAGGGGGGTGTTTATCTAGAAATATCATTATATTCTAGGATCAGTGGCAAGTTGCACTTGCTAGTTGCAACAACAGATGGATTTATATATATTTATGCGATTGATGCAGAAGGAGGTGAACTGACATTGATTCGGCAACATGCAGTCGGCGTTAAGGTGTGTTTTTGGTGTTTACTTTCAATTTAGTCATAGTTTCTTTTTTTTTTTTTTTTTTCATTTTTGGTTACTTGCCGTAGTTGAGCATAATTTCAGTGCTTACATTTTATTTTTTTGTTCTATTTTGCAGTTTAATAAATTATTGGCTAATTTTAAATAGGCTTTATTGAAGCGATTATAACTTTGTATGCGCGTGTGTGTGTGCGTCTGTGTGTGTGTGTGTGTGTGTATTTGTGTCTGCATGCTTGTATGTCTTCGTACGCATGCGTACACAAGTATGTACACACATACCTGCGCTTTGTTGATCTCGGATATTTTTTACAAGTGCCATGCACGAGATTTAAGTTAGCTTGGGAAAAAAATGATTCGGATTCACGTAAATTGAGGTGCTTGCGGCGCATGCACCGCCTCACAGAATGTGGGGTCAGTTAGTAACAAGATAATACACAAAAAATTTCAAATAAAAATTTTTTCTGATAAAATTTTCAAAATTTTTTAATGTTAAGGGCAGAGTTTTTTGAGGGTTCTTTTCTCAAATTTTTAAAATTATTATCAGTGTTGCAGCCTGTTCGCACTGTTCGCCTACCGGAAACCGTTGACTGTCCCGCCACTTCATCCAAGGAAAAAAGCGCCGAACACAGAACTGAAACAGCAAGCGGACAAGCGCAATCGCCACCGCATGACAATCCTCCATCGCTTCATTCCGCAGAATAGATATATCATGCAAACAGTGTAAATAATTTTGGTGCGCACGAAGTGGCCGACGTGCATCATGCTTCTTCTTGTTTTTGCTCCCTTTCCTTTACTGCCTTGCGCAAGTTTGAATAGTCTTATGTGCGTTGGCAGTGGGTGAGGAGGTTGGAGAGAAAGAGTAGGCGCGAAAGAATTTCTGGCTTGTTAATGATACGTAATATTCGTAGGTACTAGAAGTATTTCTTGCTAAAACATACTCTTTGACATATTTGTGTTAATTTGAAATTAGGAAAAAATTGCCCAGAATATGAAAAATGTCACGCAGTCCCTAGCGGTAACAGCTTTGCAAACAAGCTTTTGCCGGTGAAATCTACTATTTTTTTTTTTTTTTGATTTGAAAAGATTTTAGAATAAAGTCGTGAAACTGGAAACACAGCTTTTAGGAGCATT